GTGGGTGGATAATGAACATTGGAAGAGACACGCAGGTTCTTGATTCTGCAATTCAAAGACTTTTCATACAGAGTATGTGACACACATTCCTTGTGCATAGCACAGAATGAAATTCTGCTTAAGTAAAAGGTTACTCAGTCTGTCATTATATTCAAAATAACCCAGGCTTTGAGCCTGATTCATGAAGCAAATGACAAATTGTTTTTCAATGGCAGTGCTGAAAATATCCTAGTATTATGCTGTAATAGACCCACCAAATTGCAAAAGGATGCAGCCATTTTAGGTAAAAATAGCATAATTTCTGATCGTGAAATGAGAGACATAAAGATTAATTATCTGTTCTGAGCCATTCATAAATGATTAGTGCAGCAATTATGGGCTTCCATAATAGAGCCCTCCTAGAGCAGTGCCATATTTCCTGCATTGCCAAGGAGACTGCTCAGATTTATTGTTATTGATAAAAGTAAATTCAAAGTCCAGCTAAAAATCTGATAAAGGGAAAATTGCAGAGACAATCAGAGGTACAAAGGTTTCCAAGGGTTAATAGAGGAGCAATAGGAGCAGGTAGTGTTCCCTCCCTCTCCTGTCCCATAGCAGTCGTGAGTCTTGTGTCAGTGAGTTCTGCACACCAGTACGTGATGATGAGTGTAATGCCACCTTATACCTTATTCCCATAGTAAAGATTGGGTTTTGATGTGATGGGGATTTCTGTTGTCAGTTGCTTGTATGTTGGCATTATAGATTTTAATTGCAAGTTTTTAGCCTTCTATAATAATAGCGATCAGAAAACACATAGTAGCTGCTTTGGTTTTGAACAGTGTTTTGAAAATCAGTATTTTACTGTTTGACATAAATTTTAGGCTAGTTTCCACACAGCTATATCAAATACGTAGAAGCTCTACAGCTGCAGCTAGCCCAGTTTGAGCCTTTCATACTTTTATATTCCTAGATAATAGTTTTGTGGACATGGAAATGACTTTTTCTGCTTTGTTGGATGTTTTCTGTGTACGCATGAGAGTTCTTCTCAAACACTGCATTTGCTCACTGACCAAAAAATAGCCTTCAGAATACTAAATTATACAGTGGGATTGTTTTTGGCATATACTGGTTTGCATTTCAAGCAGTTTCTCTGAAAGGCTACATGCATTTTCCACACTTATCAGGGAATAGGCATATAAACTGAAAAGACAAATAGATTCCAGTAATACACTTGGTCTTTAAACTTTACCAATACTGACTGGTTAATACCTACTGTTTACATACTGAAAAGATTCCTGTTTAGTTTATAAACTCAGAGTAAGACCCTTGAGAGCCTTGCATTAATAATACCAAAAATAAGGATTAAGAAAAAGACAGCTTTTGCTTAAATATCTTGTTTGTCTGCTATCTAAATCCCTGCATTGCTGGCATATTTAGTTGCCTACATAAAAGTTAGGCTGGAGTGTCTATGGCTGAGTTCTACATGAGCACTGAAGACAAGATTAAATCAGATACTGAGCCAGACATGCTGATAAGGGCCTCTCTGTTCATGATGGAAACTGCTGAGCTGCAATACATTGGGAAAGCTACAAATTCATGTAATGTGAGTTTCCAAAAAATACATTAGCAAACATGTCTTCACCATAATAGGTTCCACATTGACATCCTTCTTTTGAGAGTAGGTTGGGATTTTTTTGTTTTGGGGAATGTGCTTTGTTTGCTTGCTCTAAGTATGATACCTGATTCACGCATGGATTCTCCAGTTGATGTTGGGTTTTGTTTAAACTGCAGCACGGTGTAGGGTCTTCAAGGACTTGCTCACGTGGAACTAATTGCAGAAATGCTGCTGATATAGTCAGTGTCATGCTTCTCTTCTCATGGTGCAGATACTTAATCCTGTAATCAACTGAAGAAGACCACAGGCTCTAAGCAGAGGATAAAATAGAGAGTGTAACTGCAGCACTGATGCTTCCTTGGGTCAGAATGATGGTACTGCTTTTATAATGTCCTCTGAGTCAATGTGAACAGATTTTTCTTGCTATAAGGATTTAGAGATGATTCCCTGTAAGTCTCCGATTTCAGGTATTAGAGTGAAGCCCCCTGAATGAGTTATAAGGTAAGTGTTAGTTTCCAGAACTGGGGATGAATAGGAGATACTGCTTATTTAGCAAGTCATTCCAACAGAAGGAGGCATTTTTTAGTTGTCTTAATTGATCTAATTTTATTTGAGCAACCACTTCCTCAGCCCTACTCCGAAGAGAGAGTCTGCATGCTAAATGCCATAACTGGTCCACTTCATTTTTCTTCTTTTTATTTTTTTTTAAAATTTATTTTATTTTCCCTGTCTGATCTTT